AATCACTCATCTTTGGAAAAGAGAGTTTATTACAGAGAAATGGCTCTTTCCAAAATAAAAGCTATACTATACGCTTCTTCTGGGCTATATTCTCAGCAGCATATTAAACATATCAGGTCCCCATAAGGAGAATCATGTGCTAACGGCTATCTAAATGACTCGGGTAAAGTTTGTAGAATGCATGCTTGTTGTTTTTGTCTGCTTCCACTTGTCTTTGCACTAGGATGATGTCGGTGTAAATGTGCAGTCATATTTGTTGTGTTCCCACTAGTGCTGTCAGCGTAAATCTCGTTGAAATGACGTTAACGCCACAACACGGCAAATCTCGGTTAACGAGCTAACGCGGATCGCCCGTGCATGGGGCTGGACGGCCAACACGTTAACGAGCTAACTGCGCTAACACACTAGGTCCCATCCATGTAATTGAGCATTGCGTGGCACATCCAACATACTGTTTTACTTTAGTCCATGACGCGCTTACCTTCAGGGTCATACGTCACATGAAACAAATTTCCCACGTGTGGGACTAATAAAGGTTATCTTATCTTATCTTAAAACCAAAATAGTTCCAAGCGCCAGATCTGAATGAGGGTGGGGGAGGTTCAATTTGCCATGTTGCAAGGAGAGCTTAACTTCTGTCTTGCTAGCTTGCCCTGCGCTCAGTGAATCTGCGTTCGACTACTCCGCCTAGGCTGCACTGTCGAGCACAGATCCACTGAGCGCTCAACACAGACAGCATCGTCAGAAGGAAAGTTGATAAAATAAATTAAAAATTTATTTTGTATTGTTCGATACATATGCGTACCGAACCAAAAGCACTGTATCGAACGGTTCAATATCGATACGAGTATTGTTGCACCCCTAATAATTACAAAAGTGAACCTCATAGAAAAGGTAGCATTTAATAAACACATGCATAGGACATAGGTACTTCCAGCTGAAAGACTTTAGTAAAGCTTTATTAAATAATCATATTAATTCAGTTAGAAGAGAGGCTTATTTTACAGGAAGGTCATCATAAACATTGACTAGTAAGTTTGTTTCACCTGGGAACTCGGTGTTGGGTGGGTTATAAATGAGTACAAAATTATAAGCCCCACTATGAACATTTTTGTTTTTAAAATTATTTTCCAAGTGCTGTTAAACAGGCCAAAGATTTGTTTTAATGCAGCTTTTCCAAACATCCTTGTTTTATTTTAGATGCTTACATTATTTTACACAGAGAACAAAATTATTTCACAAAAACTACCAGGATCACAGTTATTAGCTCTCCTGATGCTAAAAGTCAGTTGTGTATCTTTTTTGCTGGATAACAGCCTGCAGGAGTTTGTTTCACGTCTGCTGAGCAATCCCAGTTCATTTTTCTTTTGCGATTCTCTCAAGCTCCTCCAGATTCGATGGTCTTCTGGCATGGATCTCAATCTTCAGTTCATCCCACAGTTTTTGAGGACTCAAGTCAGGCTTTGTACAGGCCAATCAGTAACATTCACTTTGGTTAACTGGAGGTAGTTCATCTCCAGGAGCGACTTACGTTTGGATTAATGGTGTCAGACCCAGTTTTGCTGCGGCCTGCTTGAGGGTTTCTTTGAAAATCTTCACATATCCTTCTTTCTTTAGGATTCCTTTCACCTTGATGAGATTCGCAGTACCAGAAACACTGAAGCATACCTACTTCCTCATACTCCCACCACTGTGTTTCACTGCACATAAGTTTTTCTTGGTCTACAACCTCACAGTCCATTCCTGTGCAAGGTTCTAGTGATCGTCTTCTTTGAGAGTACAATTCCCGACTCGGTCTTTGAAATTGTTCCCTTGCTACTTCAGCCAGGTTTGATCTGTGCTGTGTCGCTCTCTTTGAATTTCTTGATGATAGTTCTCACTCCAGTTCATAACACTTTAGAAATGCTTTGTATATCCATCTCCTGGTTTGTGAGCGTCAACAATTGTTTTTCTTGAGTCTAAACTGATTTTTTTGTGTTTTTGGCATGATGATTTCTCAAGTGACGGCTCAAACCCTCGCTGAAGTTTTTATACTGTGTAAACTGGAAGATAACCCTCAGCTTTAACTTTATTTTACTTTGACTATCACAAAGTTAAAGTAGTTTGTGCTATGGCTCAGTAAAAAGGTCAGTTCTTCAGGAGGCTAATAATATTGATCCTGGATTTTTTTTCTTTCCTGAAATAATAATGTTATTGTGTGCAAATTGAACTTATCTATGGTTTCTAAAAAAAAAACTAGTATGTTTAGAAATATGTTGAAAAATTCCTTGCTCTGTTTTTAAAAAAGAAAAAAAAAAAGGACATTTTTGACACAAGCTTTAAATGTCATAGTTGGACTAATAATTTTGCCCTCATTTGTATTTGCTTCCGTCATGTTGTGCATGTGTTACTTGTTGGGAGAATGGTCCCTGTGCTCACTATGCCTTATTATTTACCACAGCAAGAGATGCTCCTGAAGTAGCTGTAACTCACCTCATTGAGTCTGTCTCCGGTACACTGTGTGTCTGTCTGTCTGGCATACCATTTTGTGTAATGTTGTCCTGTGTCATGCGTTGCACTGGCCTAGGTTCAGCTAAGCTGTAGTGTAAGGTGATGATCGTTCTTGGTCGCAGAGTTCAAATGAGCTTTTAACTATATTTTACCACATGTGTATACATTAAGCTCCCGCATGCACACGCAATCTGCAAATGTGAAATTTGTCACAGTTCATTCCACGGACAAAAAATTATTGGTCCGAACATCGTTTGTTTGGAGAAATCTTCAAAGTCGTCTAACTCTTTAAGCTGTAGTTCTATTTGCTGACATCAGGGCTGAGATACTCCAGGTTTCTGTCATGCACAGATGTTCTAGTTCTTAATATCTCAATTCCAGATATCCACCTTTTAGAAAAAGCAGAATGCTGTTGGATAACAAATGCTATTCTCCTTTTGCAGAGCCATCCTAGCTGCCAATGGCTCTCTATATTCTTGACAAAGCATGCTTATTCCATTTTCTGAAGCTTTGATGAGAATATAATTGTCAAATGCAGCTTGTACAAAAACACAACAGTCATTATTAATAACCCTAATGTCAAATACTGATTCCTCTAAATTATTCAGACATATCCATGTATCATCTAACTCTGCCAGCTACAGTGATAAAGCTTGACCTAGGTCTGTGCCTGTGAAAAGAAAACCTCTGCCTGTGTGCCTAATTGAGCTCTTACTTGTTGCATTTTTTGCTTTTTTTGACTCTGCCAAAGGCCTACCAAGAACTCTGCAGTCCCTAACATTTGTTGTGCTACACAGGTGAAGGAATACACGCACTTTTTTGTGGCGCTGTTTTGTTGGTCACTTCTCACATTCTGATAAAAATGCATGAATAGAAAGAATTCTCCTTCACATTACTTCTTTGTAGTATTTGCTACCAAACCAACAGGACGGTGCAAACGAAAAAATTCGGTGTATTTCTACAATGGTGTCAATGTAAATGTAGTAACTGCTGCTGCTTTTGCATGAAATAATTGAATCTCTGTGCCTTTTCATGGTAGAGGGTGACCTGACTGACCAGGCAAGCTGCCCACGATCCAGTGGCTCTGATCCACAGACGGTCATAAGCGACACTGTGGTGCTTTCTACCACTGTGAGGGTGAAGCTACCGCCTGTGTCTCCTCACAGCCCCACATTCAGACACAACCCGTTCAACGAGGACTCGGACACCAATACCTCAGCTGACGTCACACCAGTTCATGTGCCTAGCCGCCACAGTAGCACCACCACAGGGGATGACACGGAGATCAACAGCAATGAGCTTGAGGTTATTAGGTAGGGTAGATACAGCTTCCGTTACTGGCATGCACATATTTCTGGTGTTTTGAACAAGCGCTAACGCCTCTGTTGTTCCAGGATGGCAAAACGAAGGAAACCAACAAAGAAGAGACGTGGAAAGAGCTTTACAGATTCCATCAGCAGCACCCATAACTCCATCTCCTCTGAACAAGTGGAAATGGAAAGTAGCATCACTTCAGTAGATGCTGATTTAGTTAACTGCTCTATAGTGAAGCTGTATGATGAAGGAGAGTTGAGGAGAAGCCGGCTTGGATCAGAGGTTCTGGATGAAGGACGTGATGATGGAACAGGCCTGCGACTCCCAGAGATGGCAGACACCTCCATGGACAGCTTGGGCCAACCGCTTTGTGACGTCATTGACCAGCTCAATGGGACTCTGGATCGAGAGGACACCTGGGAACATCCAGAGGAGGACAAAAATAGCAAATGCTCTTATCGGAGCTCCGAGCCTCCTGCACAGCAGCCCTTTCGTAAGGATTCAGGGGGTAAACCACCTGATCCGGCCCCAGGAGAGACCTCTTGCTCCCCTCTGGCCAAAAGCCCCGGCTTCCTGCCGACCTCTCCTGTTCCTGCAGACGTTTGCTGCTTTACCCCCAACAGTCCAGACTCTGCTCCCACGCGTGGTAGCCACCATGACTCTACAGAGCTTAGCCAGTCACAAACTTTTTCAGGTGGCCTTGAAGATGAAAGAGAAGCAGAAGCGATTGCAGGACAAGAACCCGTCATGAAGGAGGAGGAAGACGCACAAACAGACAAAGAGACTTTTAAAGCCGAAGACACAAAACAAGTATTACAAGAGGAGAAACTTAGTCCCTCTGAAAGTTCTCATCCTGCAGAGTTTAAGTAAGCAGCTGAACAAAATGAGCTGTTTGTTGTTATATCATTGTTTAATGTTTGTTTAATAGGGTTCGTCATTCAAATTTCAGGGTGGACAACAATCACTTGCTGCTGCTTATGATTCATGTGTTCAGAGAAAATGAGGAGCAGCTCTTCAAGGTAAAGACGGAGAGAGAGTTTTTTAAATGGCCTTTAAGGGATGGTGGTTTTAGTGTTGTTGCACCTGCTGGTTTTGACATCAGAGAAGTGGATACAGGTTATGTTTCACACTTTACACCAACCCTGTAAACAAAAACCTAAATTGATTCCAATTTCTTCAAAAATCATCATGTAACAGAGTTAAGTAACATTGATAATCAACAAATGTAATGAAGCTGCTGATGAACTGCATCCCTCTAAAAGACCTGTGTGGATTATGTCATTTATCTAACATCGACATCATGTCGTAGACTGCTTTACAGCAGACAGTTTCCAACACTTGTCTCAGCTTTTTCTTTGTGTTTTCAGATGGTGAGGATGAGCACAGGTCACATGGAGGGGGACCTCCAGCCTCTTTATCTGCTGCTGACTGACTGTTACATCTACCTGCTTAGAAAGGGTGAAAGTCTTGTCTGTAATAAGGGATGAACAAGTCCAAAACTTAAACTGGGAATTAATAATAATGGCATTTGTTCCCACAATATATATTTAAAGTATATATTTAACAGTTGTGGGAACAGTGGTGTCCAAGTTTCACAATTTCAAGTTTTATTGTCGTCACTCAGTAAAGACACATATTTCCCTGAACATTCAAAATCTTCCTTTACTGTCCACAAAAGATGCCAAAGAGAAAAAATGAACACATAAATAATATAAATAGGATGCACAATCATTTGAAAACAATAGAAAAGATTAGAAATAACAGCAAATGAGAAACACAGAAGAAATAGAAGATTTACATACAAAACTATATAAATAAAATAAAAGAATCTGAGCTGCAATAAGATCTTGACATATTTATATAATTTAGAGTACTACATCAGCTTAATGTGCTGTAGTAGGATAGCAGTGCCTGTATTTGGGCTGCACATAATGTTTACACATGAGATTAACATTTCTGCATGTCTCGTATTCCTCCGCAGGTGCAGCAGAGAAGCCCTACACAGTAGAAGATGCTGTTTCTTATAACGAGCTGGACTACATATCAGTAAGCTCTTAATTACAGAAGTTGCATGTTTCTATTACGCAGCACGCAGTTACCTCATCATATTATATTGGTAAATGGCCTGTATTTGTAAAGCGCTTTTCTAGTCCCTAAGGACCCCAAAGTGCTTTACATATCCAGTCATCTACCCATTCACACACACATTCACACACTGGTGATGACAAGCTACATTGTAGCCACAGCCAGCCTGGGGCGCACTGACAGAGGCGCCCCAGGGCGGGTTAGGTTTAGGGTACATCGCATACAGACTACATGCTCTGAGTTGTGAAGCCAAACATGACAGTTTTGTTTCTGATGATGTCATGATGTCGTTCTCATTTAGGTGGGCCTCGACCAGCAGACAGTAACTCTGGTTTGCACCAACAGACGAAGAAAATTCCTGTTGGACACAGCTGACACCTCGCTGACAAGGTGAGTACATATCTGTGCCTCATATTTGTTTTTACCAGTTTAGCTCCACGCAGTGTCTGACATGTACAGTATTTACGTCCGTCTGACATGATTATGTCTTTGCAGCATGCCTGCGCAGTCTCTCCTTTCATATTTGCATGCATGTATGGGCTTACATGTCAGAAATCAAATAATCTGCACTGAAATGAAGACTCTTCTGTGACTTAAGTTAATTTTATGTCCAAAGCAGGAGGCTAAATATATGTATTTCCATCCAACTGTAAGGATGTGAGCCGGAGAGATACTGACTTTATAGAAGCACGAAGGTTACACCACCAAATGGTTGTTAGTCCCACCTCCTTCTGACCTCAAGTCAATTTCTTCTTGACTTTTAGTTGGTTCCTGACTAGTCTCAAGTCAGCTATGGTAAAAGGATGTCGAGAGCCTCCGTACCCCTCAGTTCTGACAGACGCCACCATGGAAAAACTGGCGCTCACCAAATTTGTCTCCCAGGAGTCTCACTCCGAGGTAAAGTAACTTTAAACACGATGATCACATTCATTTCAATCATTACTGATATATAAAAAAGAACTTCATGGTCCACCTGTTCAGGTAGGAGTACATATAAGTACATATTTCATCCTCTAGAGTACATATTTATACTAAAATAACCACTTTCCTTCAAAACAGCTTAGCATCCCTAACATCAAATATTATAACCCCAGTTTCAGTTGGGGCACTGTGTAAAATGTAAATAAAAACAAAATGCAGTGACTTGCACATCTCATAAACCCATTAATCACAGTAGAAGATCAAAAACATCTTCATGATTGTTTTTCTTCATAGGGTTGTAGAATAATTGAGAGTCCCTGCTTTATTGCTTTCATATTTCTTGGCAGACTTTAAAAGAGGTGGCTAACTGATCCTTACCTGTGTTCCCAGGTATCTGAAGTGTCTATTAAACTGTATTCACTGGTTCACTGGGAGGATCCTATGGACATGACTTTATCTCCCCAAGGTGGTCCACCAAATCTTGGAGGAATTTCCAGCACAAAAGAAGGGTCTCTGCAGTATCGGTCTGGAACTACATACCTGGGTAAAGAGCAGTGGAAGAGCTGCTACCTCGTTCTCAGGTACGAGCAGGTTGTTGTCTCCTTATTTTAATATCAAACATTAACCCTCAAGCATTGTGTGTTATCAGTTTTCTGAGGTCTCTTTCCTTGAAAAAGCAAATAAACCACTGATAAGCATTAACACCACTGACATACTTTTATGAGTACTATGTGCAAAAAGTGTAGATTACATTTACCATACACCTCACTTCCTTCTATTCACTTTAGCAGTCATAGTGAACTGTATGTGTTTAATGTGTCTTTTGTTAAGTTGAATGTAACTATGCTCTCTTGTCATGCAGTAATGGGATTCTGTACCTGTATGCAGAAAGAACAGATGTGACCCCCTTGCTCTCAGTCACCATGGGGTAGGCTTCAGATGCAGATTCTTCAAAATCCATGAAGCAAATGTCCAAAGACACTGAAGTTCACTGGTATATTTTTCTCATGTCGTTTGTATTCTCTCACTTCTCTCACTCTCACTTCAAAAGAGGAGAGCACTGTGGAGGCTGCCGTCGCTCAAACAACACAGAACGTCCACATGCTTTCCAAGTCATCCTGACAGAGCGCCCTCCGCTGGTGCTCAGTGCAAACAACGAGCAGGACATGGCTGAATGGATGCAGTTACTCTGCCAGTCTGTGTCTAAAGGGGTGAGGAGAGAAAGATAGTAAAGACAGCCTGTTCATTAGTGCTCATGAGGTTCACCCAACCATAAAAAAAACTCTTTAAAGAGCAATGGTTATGGTCTACTTTAGATATTAAAAGAGGAAGTGCATTTATTTTCCTTCTATGTAACGGCCGTATTAAAATGACATACAACCACCTTGCTTCCAGGTCATTCCTCAGGGTGTCTCCCCCACCCCGTGTATCCCATGTTGTCTCGTGGTGACAGACAAGAAGCTGCTGACTTGCCATCAGGACTGCCAGACGAGTTTCTTTCGTTCACTGGGCAGCGCTGACATCTGTGATGTCATCGCTGTCAGCCTGGAGGCAGACATGGCGTACTGTGTTATTGTGAGTGACCATTTCTAAAGCTGGTGTTAGTTTTGCTAACATGGCTTACCAGTGTAATCTCTGTCCTATACTGGAAATTGTACAGCACTGCTGGAACCACTGGAAATTGTATCATAATTTAATGAATGTTGATAAAACTCATGCTTGAGCCGATTACAGCCGTTGCCTTCAAGGTAGTCAAAAACTGTTGCACTGCTGATCTGGTGGAACTAAAGTTTACAGAATGTGCCATCAGATTTCAGTTTGAGGGGTTACCTCATTTTCTCTCAAATGGTAAATAGACTCATTCTTCTACAGCTGTTTTCTTCTCAAGCTCTAAAAACACTTTGTATAACACATAAATTCATACAAGCAGTTTTTTTTGCCTGAGTGCTTTCTATGAACACGCTTCAGGGTTCAGTATCTTGTCCAAGGACACTTTTGCATGCAGACTGGAGGAGCCAGGGATCGAACCACCAACCTTGCACTTAGTAGATCACAGCTGCCCCATGTACATTGCATAAATTACGTTTCACTGCTTTAACACTTTTTTAACACTACAATAAGCATCACTGTTATTCTCCAATTTGTTGGTAGGAGTTTGCAGCTGATCGGGCACAGTTCCTCCCGCCCTGGGTTTTGTACTTCAACGGCTGTGGAGAAAGAGATCGATTGCTGCAGGCTTTGGACGACGCATGGAAGGCCATTTTTCAGGTAACAACATCGCTTAGTCTGTCAATTGTGTGTTTAAGAAAAAATAGAGCAACTGTGCAGCCAGTGAAGATAACTACTGTCAGGATGTAACCCTCATGCACCCTCTCCGCACACAGGTTGAGCTTCCTCACAGAGACGTTTCTGATCCATTGGTGCAGAAACGCTGCGGCGAGGCACTCGAACTGATGAAGAGCGCCTGGCAGAGAGCCGACAGTCTGGCTCGAGGCAGAGCCCAGCGTGAACCGTGGTGCTGACAGACACGCACGTGAATATCTATACATTTGCGTGTGTTTGCAGCCACTGAGTCTGATAGTTTGACAGGATGGGGTGTAACAGTTTGTGCCACTGCGTAGTCATAAACTAAAAGACTTATAAACCAACGAGATGTGATGTGGCTTGTGATGAACCTCTGATTCTTAAATGTAATCAGAGAAACTTCCTGTTGTAGAAGCACTGCGTGATGCACATCACATTGCAATGATGCAAGACTGCAGAGTCTTATAGTAGCCTGATAAAACAGCATTATAACTCACTATCTTGGTATTCCTCACACATGGGAGCAGTGTAGACTGAGTCATGCCAATTCAAAGACATTTGCTGTCACATGATTTGACAATTGAGATATAGATAGAAAATGATAATTACATTATTTAGCAGATTGGAGAAGCTTGATGGAGACACAGAACAATTACCAGAAGCTTCTCTGTAACATGAGAGTTTTATGCACGCACATATACAAAGCCATTAATGAAACAGGAAATGGTTGGTTGTTGGTTTAGTAAAAAGTTGACACTCCATAGCCGGAACTTTCTGCACAGCTCACACACCCGTGTCAAGAAAAAGTCACTTGTTGCTTATTAACACTTAGAAAACGTGCTTCTGAACCATAATGGTGGCGTATCATCAGTGCAAACATACAGTATCATTGCATATTCACTGATGGTTACATATGTGTTGTGTACGTTTGGGATTAAATTTCGGTTTGTCAGTAAGTAGTTACTCTGAAGTATTGTCACATACACACAGCACATCATCGGGAGAGAATGAGGATATCCGAATACTTAAAGCTTGCACTGTTACATAACATGCTCATGGCTGCAGCATCTGTCCGAGTTCTCACTTTATCAGTTTTAACATTTTCATTCAGATGAAAATAACTTCTTTCAGGAAATACAACAAACTTGCCTTTTCTCCACTCTGCAGAGATGGAGGTTTCCATGCTGACTTGCACTTTTTTTCCCCAGTTTTTTAAGCGGTACTGGTTGTGGAATTGCATTAACATGCCATGTTTTATTTTATTTCCTTTTTAGAGAAAATGGGAACACTTGTTACCAAATTATCCAGTTTGGAGGTTTGTTTTTGTTTTTTAATGGAGGATTTAAGGTTTGCGTGAGGAGTTGTTTAATAACTGAGAGCTAAAGAATGTTTTGACTTCTCATTTTTATTTTGCACCTGTAGTTTATGCTGTACTGTAAGTTCTGGCTACACATCTAGATTATAACATGCCTGCGTCCTCTGCACTAGTCCCAAAGTAGGACCACGTTTGAGAATCCTTCAAAATTTTACAGTCTAGAACCTTTTAAATAATAGCCTGTTACATTAGCTAATAGTAAAGCCTTAATCTGGCAAGAATACATAATTACAGGAGAAATTTAGAAAAAATAAAAAGCCGCCTTACTTGGCATAGAAATGATTGTCCGGAGACATGAATAATGCATGTTTGTCTTTAGTATCGAGCCTGATTAGAGGGTTAAAGTGCTGCTGCATGTGCCGTGTGACTGCTCTTTCTGTAAGGCTGAGATAAATATGAGGTTTTCTTTGCGATGACAATGTTGCCTTTTTTAGCTGAACTGAATTAAATTGCCAAATTATTAAATTTAAGCATCAGTTTTTTTTTTCTTTCAGCAATGCCTTACACTTTATAATTTCACAGGGTCTAAAACAATCAACGTTTTCATTCTGGGTCCTTCAAGAGAAATGTCAATGCTTGTGCTCGATGTAGGTCTGTGGGTCAAATACGTCTTACCACTACTTACTGTTGAATATGTATGGAAATGTTACCCAAGCCCTATACACATGTCACTGTGTTGCTCTCATGTCCGCATTGATTTGTATTTTAAGCTCTTCTAAGTGCCCCATGTTCTCTTTCACCTTCTGCTTTTATTTATTCATATATATAATTTTTATTTTATTTTATTTTATTTTATAAAGAAATCTAATCTCAGGTGAAAAGGGTACTTCACATCAGAACACTCACCAGTTGCTTCTTCTTTTTTGAGCATTTTATTACTATTATTATTATTATTAATATTATTTAATTTTTTTCTGCTTTGCAGCAGTCCTTTTTAAATTTTCTGCTTTCCTTTTGGTTCCTCCCTTGTGCTCGGTGCATTAAGAAGTGATTTTGCACACATGGACGGCTGCAGAGTGAAGTCAACTGTTGGAAAAGGTTTTCTGGAGAAATCCTTTTATATTTTAATGGGTTCCAAAATAGGGTTGGTTGGCAGTGCAGTTAAATTCGTCTCCCACAGTGGGAAAGAAGCATTGCAATATTTGGACTTACTTGAAATGTTTGTCGGATGATTAATAATGAATGTGTTTAAGAGTTGGAGAGTATGAATTGTATATAACGAGAAAGTCAAAGTTAGTCCTTTTAAGCAGTGTTTTTGCAGGTGAGACATTGCTGGCCAATGATGGAAGACATCTTTTAAGTAATGCATTATGCAAAAGCGCCTTTTGATTTTTGTTTACTGCATGTAATATTTTTATTGTGTTTAGCATTTTTATTAAAATGTACATGAAGCACTAATCAAACATAACAGTCCCTGAACTCCCACTTGGAGAAGTGCATGTCCTGAAGGTTTTATACTGTTCATTTAATGTAACGAATGTACAAATAAATCTTTGTGAACTGTAACCAAACCCCGTCTCCTGTGGTGTCATTTCCTCTGCTTTTAGTATGCCTGTTTGTGTTTTTTAACAGCTGCCTTTTTGTCACAGGTCACGCCAGTGAAATATGGTGCAATACAGTGGAGTCATGAGGGCAGTTGTGTTAGCGCAGGAACAGAATATTCACGGGTAAGAGGGCATCTTAGGTCACTATGCTTTTAGGAAGTGTAACACAAAATGTGTTCCCATTGTCTGTGATTGCTTTAGATACATTTCTTGTGTATGTTTGCTCAATTAATAGTTTGTCTTGGGAAATTTGCTGTTTTTGTAGTGCCTATGACATGCTGCTTGGTGATTTGTATTACCTCTACAAAGGAGATTATGTTTTGAATGAAGTCTTGAATGAGTTCTGTTGAGACCTAGTAGGGGTGTAGAGTGGGCTCATGTTAGCAATCTATTCAAATTTGGCATACTTCCCCTTCAAAGTCCACTCAATAACTTATTGGTTGAAAATTGATTTAAAAAAACAAAACCTTTTGACTTAGCAACTATGATTCTTAAAAGTGTGTTGTGTATTGCCAACTTAAAGAAAGTACCATGTAAAGATTTAAAATATCATGTTACATTTGACCTCTGACCTTTTCTTCAAGCCCAGTAGATTGAGCTGAAGGTCAAAGTGATAATAATGTCATGTAGAGCTTAAATACATATTCATTTGTAATTTTCTGTACTTTACACACATTTAAAAAGAACAAATAAAACAAAATGAATAAGTGAATAAGATACAATACTAATCCCTTAAAAAGTAAACACTACTTCAGTCACTTCTTCTGTGTTTTAAATCAAAGTGTTCAAATGTTTTCTGACCAAATGTCACACTGAGACAGTGACAGATGAGCTGTTACATATTCATAGTTTGCCATTTCAGTTACTCTAATTTCTCTGACACACCTGCAGAGGTCATACAAACAGTTTGCATCCAAGCCTGATGTCAACCAAAGTGTACAGGGACGTCTATGTGGTGTGTGTGTTGCGGGTAGTGAGTAACTTATGACTGAAATACCCAAAGTGCTTTTATGTGAACCCAAGTTATTTACTTTTGGCAGAGCAAATATGGGATTTAAGTTCGGAGCACCTTGCAAATGCTCAAAGTGTCGATAAACTTAAAGGATGTTTGGTATCAGCTGACTCAGTTTGTAGTGAAAGGAAGACGTTCAAGATAGCATCAGATACAATCCAGAGTACATGTTAACAACTTCCTTTATTGCTGATAATAATTTTATAGTTGCTAGGGCAACCGTTACCACTGGTCTTGTTCAGAGGTATCTTTATTATTTAGTAGTACAGTAATAGTGTGCTTGTGAGGTTACCATGAAAAAGAAAGCTGTGAACTCTTTGTAGTAACACAGTTTCAAAATCATAAATAGGGTTAGAAGTTGAGACTGAAAGACTTGAAACCAAATGTAAACCATTACAAAACAGCATCACTGATAGAAAAGGAGGCTGTGATGGCTTATGGCGAAAAAAAGAGGAAAGATGTTGATGTTGGATCGATGTTGGGTAAAACATCAGGGGTTTTGACCTCTAGGGAAATTCACAGGAAAAAGTTTAATATGAAAATGAAGATTATGTGCTGTGCCCTAAAGGTTTGTTGTGGATAGCTAAGGTGAAGCTCCAGAGCAGGGGTCTCGAACTCCAGGCCTCAAGGGCCCGGTGTCCTGCAGGTTTTAGATGTGTCCTTGATCCTACACAGCTGATTTAAATGGTGAAATTACCTCCCCAACATGTCTTGATGTTCTTCAGAGACCTGTTAATGAACTAATCATTTGATTCAGGTGTGTTAATGCAGGGTGAGATCTAAAACCTGCAGGACACCGGCCTCCGAGGCCTGGAGTTCATGACCACTGCTCTAAAGCATCTTTCAAACTCGCCAGTGTTGGCTCCGGCATTGCATTAAAATCCACTCAAAGATACTGGTGATGTCATCATTGTTTTTAAAATAGAGTTTCCCTTTGACAGCACGACTCTGGTTACTGTATGTGTTGTGTTATTCCTTCATACATGTCTCACAGGTTCGACTCTGCTCTGACTGCAGCACTGCAAACAGCATGAAAAGCAGGAAGGCTGCTGGAGGTGGTGTGCCAAAAAGTGACTTAGTTTTATATATCCTTTATTTATCCAGCTAAAAAGTCTCATTGGCAATAATTAATTCATTTATTTAGTTCTTCATTTTATATATAACCTCTTCATTCATCCTGTTGACTACAGTATTTTTACCATTATTAGCAAAGTTATTCCACATAAAAAACACACAGAAACATCACTTTTTAGCTAAAAAAAAAACCCAACCTCCTGGTACATGTGGGGCTTCTGGACTCTGAGTATAAACCAACAGCATTTTTAAGTGCGCACAGTTTGTTCTGCGCTTTGAGAAGATCGCGTGGGGGTGGTGCTTCATCCTCGTGTAATTTATGTTAATTATCTGCAGAATTTCAAACCAGTTCAGTGAAGTATATGAAACAGCTTGCATGGATGAAGGAATACACATTGACTTCAAAGAGAAGAATCCTCTCACAGTGCGTTATGTCCATATAATTATATTATTATAGCACATAAGAGCTTGGACTGCCACTCACTAACTGTTACATTATTTATGAGGTGAAAACGTGCATTTCCCTGCTGAGATGCAGCACAGCACTGTGCGCGGTGTTGCCTGCGTGCTAGATCCATTACGGTATCCACGGCTCTTGCAGTGGAGCAGAGGAGCCTGATGGATGCAGAGATAAAAAGCAGAACGAGGACAAGGGAAGCGTAGATTGCTACAAATGCAGACTTCAGCAGCAGCAGCAGCTTGTTTTTCACTACAGCAAAGACCAGTATCCAGATTTTTTTAAGGCTTTTTTTGCATCTCTTACCTTCAGCCTGGCTGAAGTTATCTTTGAATTCCTTCAGTACAGATTTCATGTGAAGGCATAGTGTTTGTTTCAAGTCACAGGAGCTTTTTTTTTTAAATCATGTTGAGGAAGAGCTCAGAGCGGCTGAAGGGAGACAGAGAGGTCCTCCTGGATCTGGATACTAGGGCTGAAGCACAAAGCACAGAGAGCTATGGGAGCCTGCAGAATGGGAGCTTTATCCCCCCACGATATGTAAGCTCTGCTTTACTTATTTCCTACAATACTGCAGTGTGATATCTCTTCAGCTCACATAAATCTATAAAATCGCATCACTTTGACACAGCAGTTATTCATTATCCTGTTCCCATTTGGCCTCACTGATTTCTCAGAGATGTGGCAGTGAGTCTTGAGGGGTTTTACCCTTCATGTAATATAAACATGAACACAAGGTACTGTAAGGACACTGATAATGGGTAATGGTGAGGCATGACTTTACTGCACTGAAAGATTGTTTTCGGCTCATCTTTCTGGTCTTATTACTGCAAAGTGGAGGCATGTACTAGCACAAGAATTAAACCTCTCCTCAAAGCCAATTAAACATTCATACACCGAGCGAAAAGGTTCAAATGCAGAAAAGTGAGCAGAGTTTTCGTCAGCAGCTCTCTCTTTACAGAGTTTCATGATATATTAATGGTGGCTCAACTGTCAGCTTGCAGCTGCAGCTGCTGATGGAGATATGGATGGCGATGATCCCATTTATATGCAGTCTCCTACAAGAAGTAAGCAACCAGTGCCACAGTTGGGGAATTACTTCAGAGACGGGAGAACTAAGATTGGTAGGCCGCTCGCTTTGCATGAGGTTTCATCAGCTCAGTGGTAGGTAGACAAAGTCATTCGTTCATTTAACCTTTCACTCCTCTGGTCTGGGGTGCAGACTTCGTGCTGGTGTGGGAGATTCGTTCACGGAGGAAGCGGCGAGGGAAAGGGACAAATATGGCTACCAGTGAGGAGAGGGAAGCCGTTCCCGCTGAGGAGAGCAGCAGGTCTGAACGAAGGAAAGCACAACTGGCTCAGTGGAGAGAGAAGTTTGTTCAGAACCTGGAGAGTGTTGGCTTGGTCATGGAAAAGGTGTTGTTGACAAGATTAAAGATTATTTATCTTATTATTAAATTATTAAATCTGTTCATTATTTTTCCTGATTTGTTGATTAACGTCTTCTTTGTTGCCTCTTTACTTGTAGGAGGAAACTGCAAATGAAAAGAAGACCATACACTTTCTCAAAATTAGCGCCCCCTGGGATGTGTTGGTGTGTTATGCTGAGGAGCTTTGCCTTAGAGCTCCACTGCAAGTAAGTACAGCTATTTATTTCTTGGTAGGTTCAATTTAAAGTTATTTGTTACGTGACGTTAAACCCAGTTGATAATAATACTAATTTGGGGAATAAACAAGGACAACTTAATATGAAAGCGCACACTGATGTTTACCAGATAAAGTCTTTACTATCTCACTTTTCTCTTTAATCATGCGAACATTTTCTGATTATCTCTTAAGACAATGAAAACCTGTCGTAACATTTCACTCAGAACCAAAAACGTGCATCTTATGCTGTTCTACAGTAATAGAAGGAGGTCACCTGTATCTGTGTTTGTGTCCCAGGCACAGCAGCATCTAGACCTCAACACATCTGCTCGGGTACTGAGTAAACTATGCATACCTAACGTAATGACGGAGTCTGTGCCTAACAGGCCTCTGGACTATTACACATGTGCCTTTCGCAAGTCAAAGATGAGCAGGTGGGTTAACTTCTGCAAACAGTTGGATCAGATCACTGCTGCGTGTTTTGCTGAATGTACACCTTTCTTCAGATTCCTTGGCTGGGAAGATCACGATACATATTTCACAAATACGCAGAGGCACCGTGTTGTAAGTAACACAAGTGTGACAATAGCAGTATACTGAATGTATCGGATGTATATTTGAACTAACAGACTGAGAGTTTTATTTCAGGTCTATGAGATTCTTGCCAGGACAGCATATGGGAAAAGGAAGAAGGCTGAAGTCGGAGTGGACAGACTGTTAAATGAAGGGGCGTACACAGCAGCTTTCCCGCTGCATGAGGTGAGTTATTTTTAGCTGTTCTGTACACTGAAATGTGTCGTTTTCTCTTTCTCATTAGCAGCATGTTTTTTCTCTTTAGGGGCCCTTTCAGCTTCCAAAGCACGAGGTCCGACCTGACGAGCTGAACCAGAGGCAGGTTCTCTACTACTACTGGGCCCGCTGGTGCAAATGGTACAAGTATCAACCACTGGACCATATCAGGGAGTACTTTGGAGAGAAGATTGCACTCTACTTTGCCTGGCTGGGTAAATATATATTCTTATTTCTGTTGTTCAAAAAATTTGGCTCATTTTTTACAGATAAAAAGCCCACTCCTTCCTGAAACCAGGAGGATTACTGAATGCAGACCAGAAGGTATCATAATTAAATATTTAGATTTTGTCATTATTGCTAAAATGAAAACATTATAAATATCTGTGCAACTGTTCAGGTTTTCTCCCTGTCGACAAGTAATTTGAGTTTAATTAACTGCTCAACATAAGCGTTCTATTGATATCTCAGTAATTTTATTAGCTTGAAGAACAAATTAAAGCAGTTTTTGCAGATTATTTGGTTGAAATCAATTTAAATTTAGTAGCTAACTATAATTTTATTACAATTCTGGTCATTTGATTTGAGTCTGATGGGGGCCAAAGATTTCGCTATTTAGAAAAAACCCCGCTGTTCATTTTAATAAATGAGAAATACGTGGAGTCTGTATTACACGCCAGAATCATTTAAAATGATTAGAAATGGATCAAAACTAATACAGGACAATAAGCAGAGTGCTCACATAAATAAACATACTGTATGATACAGCAATCTAAGCTACAGCCTCCTGGCACTGACTCCACAGTGAATTGCATCTATTACTTTTTTCTTTCTTTCTTTTTTCACAAAAAGGTGGAAACTCCTTTTTTTAGCAGTGAAATTCTTTTATGAATCTCTGTTAAGAGGAGAGTGTAGTATATGCAAAGGGGCTATACCTGAGCTTGAAACCATTATTGTCAGGATGAAAGTCATCACTGCAGCTGAAATTGAACATCCGTCTTGCATCAGCTGAGAGCTGCAGTCTAATGGAGCTTTTTGTCTCTGCAGGTTTCTACACAGCCTGGCTGCTGCCGGCAGCAGTGGTCGGGACTCTGGTCTTTGTGTCTGGAGTGATGTCCATGGGTACCAACACACCAGCGTGAGTCTGCATCATGTATACATAGCATGTGTTTTATTGTGTAACACAAAATAATTTTAAATGAAATGTCGCATTACAGACACGTGTAACTGCACTCACTTAGATAAGGTATTGTGGTATAGTTGGTGAAGTTTTACACACAAGGGTCAGTTTAAGCAGGCAGTTCAAACACAAGTGAAGCAACCACCGTTTTAATAGACACAAAAACTTGGATCTTGTCTTTAATAATGTATAACATAAAAATCAAACAAATAGGAAACCCTCACACAAAGTTAGTTGCAACTAGTTGCAAACAGTTGCCAAATGTGAAAAAATCCAATGCAGTCATCGGGCAACTATTGATCACCCAGCCCCCCGATCCCTCAATGGAGTTTCAGATGGTAACCAGACATTATGTTTAATTAAACATTAAACATACTTATGCACTGACATGCATCACTATTGATAGTGATTCAGCTGAATTTAATGCACACCCACATGGCTCATAATAAAAATAAACGGGACTAATCATTGTCAGCCAGCTGCTGGCTGCAGTGGCTTCTTAGAGTCTTATTGTTTCAGTGAAGCTGCTGAAATTGGTGCCGTTGTGCCTGTTCAGAAACGTATAGCAAAAACCTTACTGATGTCCAACATAAGAGCCAAAGTTCAGTGCTGTACTTAATGTACACACATGAGATTAGCATTGATTTCTCCTTAGAAAGAAAGCAAATAAGTGTGTTATAGCTTTTGTTTTAAGGGCTGCCACAGTTTCCTGGAAATTAAACTCCACTTACAGACTCTCTCAAACAAGCACAACTTTAGATTCAAATATTTCAAAGCAGAGCGCACTCTGCATAAAGACTCGCTTCACAGCTAGATCATCTACATGTGGGATGTCTGTGCCAGTTTGTCATACATTATTTATTAAGAGTTGGCTCTCCTTTCTGGTTTTTCTTCTCAGTGTAAGTGTAGCCTAGATTGTGTACAGTAATATTGCCGCTGTAACTGTTTACCTTTTTCTGGCTTCATTTCTTAGGGATAAGTCGATATCCTAGGAAAGAGAGTCTGTGGCAGCAAGAAAAAGCAGCCATCTCTAATGGACAATTAGTGCAGAATAATCCTCCTATTAAAAAAAAAAAGAGGAGGAAATAGATCTCGCTGTCAGTCCAGGCTTTATTTGTAGCTGATCCCATGTGCAGTCAGGGTTTCAGTAACTCACTCTATAACTGCAATAAAGGAAAGAGCAGTAGCTTTGTTTCCCGGCAGGAGGTTAGGAGAATGCTTTCCACACCGCTCATCTGTTCCCTGGAAGCAGTGCGTAATAGGTATATGTGCAGCCTTTACATCCATTAGAGTTAATTCTCCCAATCCCTTAGCTCCCACACTGATCATTATTGGCAAATACGTGTTGCTTTAAAACCTGTAATTAGTGTTATCTCAGGTGTAACTAATCTGTGTCAGTGTGTCTGTCAACAGGGAGGAAATCTGTAACAGTGGAGCTAGCTATACCATGTGTCCACTCTGCAAAACATGTAAGGCCTGGAACATGTCTGAGATCTGCACCTTGACGAAGGTACCAAGCTTTTTGTGATGGACAAATCGCTGACTATGCGAAAAAAGACTTGAACCTAATGGTTGTACCTTTCTCTGTTGCAGCTGGGATACTTATTTGACCATCCAGGTACAGTGTTTTTCAGTGTGTTCATGTCATTCTGGGCTGTAACCTTTCTGGAGTACTGGAAGAGAAAAATGGCCACTCTGGCACATCACTGGGACTGTATGGACTTCCATGAAGAGGAGGTATTGGTTGCTTTCAGTATGAGTGTGATCATACTGGTCTTATTCGGTTTAGAGCTCTTAGGTCTGTCATGATTATAGATCCTGTAATACAGTAATGGGCATCATGACTGGTTGCACTTGTTTGCACAGGGATTCTATTTTTTTAATATTTGATTTTAACCTTTACACACGGAAGTTTCAGTTTTGTACAGAGTAAACAAGGTAAACAAACAACAGAGCAAAGACTAAAGTTACAGACCAATCTGTGAACCAGACAAAGCCGGTGAAGAGTGTGTCCAGTGATGATGGTCACTGTTTTCTTTAAGGAGCGTCCTCGGCCGGAGTTTGCAGCCATGGCCCCTACTATGGAGCAAAATCCAGTGACTGGGGTCAAAGAGCCATACTTTCCTGAAAAAACCAGGCTGTCTCGCATGTTCACTGGCTCCATGGTTATCATAATGATGGTGAGGCTATTTAAAATATTTTACATACTGTACTGTTGTTTTGTTGTTTTTGCACTTCAGTAAAAGAAATACTCGAGGTGCATTTTAACACTATGCATTATGTTTAGTTAGGTTCTTAAACGGTTTAATTACCACTATTATTGTCACACTGTAAAATGTCGTTCTAATACAGCAGATCCAGATCCGCTCCCGAACAACAGACTTTCTCCTTTTCTCATCATTAATCTCATTGCACGTGGTTTCAGTAAGGAGTCTCGGTTTCTCTTGAGCTTTTCCTTTTGTGATTGTGTTGAGAAATAGAGGTGGGGTTAACACCTTTGTGCCATTCCAGTAAATCCTGCATTGTTAACTGAACCCTTTTTTAATAATGAATCCAGGTCACATGCCTACAGGGCCAGATATGATCCCATCATCTCATCCACGCACTTTATGCTGTGTCCAAGATTCACTTCTTTGTAGATGCAGATCTGAGGATCATTTTTCACACACCCTTCTTTTGATGATGGGATTAGAGATGGAAATGTTTTAAAATTCTAATTCTCTTCCCTGTTCAGTAGAAGGATTTTGCTGGAAACATACTGATGTTATGATAGTTGTGAATTTTGATATAAGGAATGAAAATGTCTGCAAGTTAATTTCCCGAAACTGAAAGGAATAGAATCCACTATTAGACAAAGAAAAGAAATGAATATCATGGAAAAAATGATTCAGCTGTTACTAAATTTTATGGGAATAATACCTGATCCAAGCTCTTGTTGGAAGCTCTTGCTTGCTTGCCAATCTTTAGAAAAATCCTACTACTAAATGCTACTGACTTAGAAAAGCATATGCATGTCTAGCACATTCAATTAAAGCCGTCTTTTAAAAACTTTGTTTGTGCTCTGAAAGATGTCAGTCAGGATGTAAGAGATATGGATCAGTTTTATGATGAGAGCCGCATCCAAAATATGTCGTCTAGCAATGAGGATGCTGGACTCTTGACTTCTTGGTCTTATATTATGCTGCATGGTGTTGATGATGACAGCAGACCTTTGTGTGCCTCTGGCTGTGTGCAGCATATTATGTCGCAGCTACAGGTGTGCTTTTCCCCCTCTTCTCTCAGCTGTGTGTGGTGATGATCTTCCTGGTGACGGTGGTCGTGTGCCGTGGTATCATCAGTGTGGTGATATTTCATTCTGGGAGCCCTGTGCTGCGGACAGAGGTACATTACAGCTGTTTCATGCTTTGCACAAAGAAATGCTACAAACACATTGGAGCTTTTTTCCAAAAAGAAAACTGTTAATAAGAAGAGAATGCAATCATTAAATTATTAAAAATGATCACAATCACATTTTAATATAACATTTTCGTTTTTTGGGCATCACAGTGGTGCAGTGGTGGTGGAATCCACTGGCCATTTGGGGACTTTCTGTATGGAGGCCCCAGACCCATACATCCCCACACTGTGTGGTTTCTTTCTGGGTGCTCTGGCTTTATCCCACAGTCCAAAGACATGCATGTTAGGTTAACTGGTGAATATAAAATTGGCCATAGGTGTGAACGTGAGTGTGAATGGTTGTCTGTATCTCTGTTTAAGCCCTGTGGTTGACTGGCTCCCTTTCCAGGGAGTAGCCCCACCCTTTGTCCTGTGACAGATGTGATAGGCTCCAGTCAACAATCATGACCGTTCAGTCTTGGTTTTCTTCTTTGTCCACTGTGTACAGAACATTATGCTGACACTTTTTTATCATATTATGTAACACATATGATCTGCAGTAAAATTCTCATATTTACATTATACCAAGAAACAGCTCAGTGTTACTAACTTTACACATTTTTTTGCCATTCTCCCAACTTTTACTGCCATCAAATTGAGTTCACATGGTCAAAAAAGATCAACATTTGAGTTGTGTTGTGTTGGTACTGTTTTTAATTAAATATATTTGTACATGTTTAAATGATTTTGCAAATCACTGCATTTTATTTATCATACAAACATTCATGCATTTAATTTCCTCCCCCAGGCAGGGACCATAGCCAACATCTCCAGCAGTATTGTAAACCTGGGGCTCATACTGCTGATGGGCCAGGTCTACACCGCATTAGCTGAGCAGCTCACTAAATGGGGTAAGAATCAATGCTGCTCTCACACACCTCAAACCTCTGTGGTGTATATTGTTATCAGCTTTGTACTTGATTGCCACTAACTAAAAGCTCAGACTTCTCCAGAGCAGGTGAATCTCTTCAGTTGGATCCTTATGGCTATTGTTTCTGTCAAAGTAGCTGCATCATGTTGCAGAATTATGGGACTGTAAAGTACAGATACAGAGGGCATAAAAAGTCTACACACAAAAAAATAAATATTTTAAAAAAACCTAAAACAATGTGGTTGGACACGTCTGCACGCCTTCTTATAATTAGGGGTAAGATTAATCACATGTGAATTCATATTAAACATTAGTCATCAGTTAAAGTGACTCATTAAAATCAAATGAAGTTCAGCTGTTTTTGTAGGATTTTCCTGATGTGTACCTTGTGGCATCTTCCAACAAAATTTGTGATCTGCAAATAACTTACAAACACATCAAACTGATCTCATTGCTGAAAATAGATGAAAAAAACCCCATTACTGCCAGAACTGAGGGAAAGACAAGAAGATAACTGGCCAGGGAGGTTTACAGCAACATTAAATGAGCTGCAGGAATTTCTGGCAAGAGCTGGTTGTGTACTACATGTGACAACAATCTCAAGTTAAACACACACATGATATACATACATCAGAGCGTCCACAAGCATGTAGGTTTTGTGTCATGATCTGATGAGGCCAAAGTTGAAGGTTTTAGGAGTGATTCCTTGAGATATGTTTGACACAAAAACAGTTCACATCACCAGAGAAAAACTGTACCTGCAATGAAGCATGGTAGTGATAACATCGTGCTTTGGGGCTGTTTTTCTTCATCTGGAACTACAGTAGGGCTTTAGTCAAGCTGGGAGGATTTATGAACAGTACTAAAATAGCAATCATTTTTCACAAAAAACCCCTTTAGGCATCTGCTAGAAAACTGAAGATCAAGAGGATTTGGACCTTGTAGCACAACAGCAGCAACCACCTGCATATATCCAGATCATCAAAATAACTGATTCACCAACAAATGAGCCAGCCTGAGTACAGATTCAGATCCTGCTGAAAAACTGTGGAGTGACCTGAAGAGGACTGTGCTCGAAAGATGGCGCCATAATCTGAAAAACTTGGAATGTTTTTACAGAGAAGAGAAGGGCAAATAATGAAGACGTGCCATGCTAACAACTAACCAAAAAGACTGACTACTGTAATAAAATGCAAAGGTGCTTCAACAAAGTTGTTAGTTTAACTCTTTAACTCACAGTGTACCATATTTGATACATGACTTTTCATGAGTTCTTGAGATGTTCACATGATCAGTGTGCAAAAACTCTGCTTAATTGTTTAGGCAAAAAATAAGAACAAATAAATAATAATTTTCTGACAATTATTTCATGGGTCAGGCTTTAAATAGCTAAGGATGTGCATATTTATGCAACCAGATTGTTGTAAAAATTTTAGTGTACATGTTTAACCCCTCCAAAAAGATTGTAACTGTTAATCTTGATGTTTAAATAGTTCAGCCACTGTTTAAAATGGATATCGGCAGGATTGTTGATGATGTATCCAGCAGAGTATTTGTAGAATTATCTCATTTCAGTCAAGAAAGTATGATAGACAATCATATTCGCTGCTGATTCTTGATTCTTGTAAAAAAAACAGACAAATCAAAAAACACCCCAAATTAATGTAAAAAAAATAGTTTACACTGTGGTTTCCCTTTTTTCTTAGTTTTGACTACCTGTAAACCAGTTATCATAATATCTTGTTATCTATATAAAAATCACTTTGAAGTCATTTAAACTGTCTAAGTGAAATCAAAGGCAACATTGTCTCGATGTCTTTAACACTGTGTTTTTGTGCGATGTGTTGCAGAGATGCACAGAACACAAACCCAGTATGACAACGCTTTCATCTTCAAGGTGTTCATCTTCCAGTTTGTCAACTTCTACTCGTCTCCCTTTTATGTGGCTTTCTTTAAAGGAAGGTGAGACACACGAGTCACAACAGACACACAGGATAATCATGAAAAGATGAAGACACTGAGACAAAGAAAGTATTTAAGGTGCCACTGATCTCTCTGTGATTAGGTTTGTGGGTTACCCTACCAACTACGGGACCTTGTTCGGGATGAGAAATGAAGACGTGAGTGATTTAGAGAGCCTGTAAAGTACCAGCATGTGAAAATGATGCCCCCATAGTGTCATGTCTGTGTGTCTTTGCGTTATAGTGTGGTGCCGGGGGTTGCCTCATTGAATTGGCTCAACAACTTTTCATCATAATGGTGGGAAAACAGCTCATCAACAACGTTCAGGAGTTCATCCTACCGTACGTTGCTACACTTTTAGCTTTTATGTTTTTTTTATGTATATGTTTTATGTTTTTATAGAAAAATGTTCTGTTGTCAATCTCCAGCATATTTAAACATCCTTTATTCTTCCTTTATTTACATCCTTTATTATTTATTTAAAAGCTTTCGTGGTTTACCAGGACATCTTACTTTTTAGAGAAAAAATTTCAGGAGTAAATGTTTTCTGCAATAAAATAATAATTAAACAAATTAGATTCAAACACATGAGCAATAAGTACAGTGACTGTCAAATACAACTGAAAAGATTAAAGCAGAGTTAGGATAAAAGCTAAAACTGGTACAGATGTGGAAGATGCATAAAAGTAGCTGTGCTGTGTCATATTGTTCCACAGTTCCAGCTGTTTAGTGCAGTAAATCTCATCCATGTGCCTCTGCACCATCAGCTGTGTGTGACTGTTTAAGACTTACTGCAGACAGTAAGTGTAAAATAAGGGCAGCAGAGGAGCAGTTCAGTAAATACGCTTAAAACCTCTGGCAAAATTATGTAATCATCACTCTTGAGGATCCAGCTCTTTTACTTTGTAGCACATAAACAAATCACAGATATGATGACAGAAATTATTGCTATACATGAAAAATAAATGGGCAGAAACAGGAGCCAACATTTGTTACAGAACTGTCAGAAACAGGCTGAATGAAATGAGATTTACACGCAGAGAAGCCAAACACAAGCCAGCGCTTACAGTGGGCCAAAGAGGGGCAGTCGTGGACTGTGTTAACTGATGTTAGTGATGAATCATAAATGTGGAGTGGCCAAGGGGATGATGCTGGAAATTTGGTCTTGTGCTGCTGCAGTGAAACAGACAAAGATGAATGCATGAAGAAAACAAGCACATTTCCCCACTCAGTGGTGGGGCGGCATGTGTTGTAAAAGATGAGAGGGGATTGCAGTCATTACATCAGCAACAAATGCTTCCAGTGATAGAAAATAGGTTTGGTTAACTAATTCCAACTGAAAGTCTATGGTGGTTATTGGGGAACAATGATTGCTGTTCAGCTACAAAAAATTAGTCCTGTGTCATATCTGTGATGTAATGAACATCCTCTAAATGTGCTGTTTCTGTCATTTTTCCCATTGCATGTTGCAATGCATACTAACATAAATCCTTATCTTGATTCCATCAAATGATCAGGTGACCCTGGAGTTATGCTCCAATAGGCCCAGGCTGCTGGGGCGTTCCCTCTTCACTCACTTCTTTTCACTCTCTGCATGGTTTTGCACCACGTGTCTATTTAGTCATTAGCCGTTATTAAACTCTGGCACTTTCTCCCATAGTTATCTCCTTTCTCCTGTTTCTGCTGTCTTCTCCCATGCCATCACCCCCAAGTGGTCGCGGCAGATGGCTGCTCTTCCCTGAGCCTGGTTCTGCTGGAAGTGTCTTCCTGTCAAAAGGGAGTTTTTCCTTCCCTCTGTTGCCAAATGTTTGCTCACAGGGGTTGTCTGTTGTTGGTTTTTTTTTTGAATAGTTGTTTTGTTTTAACCTTAGAGTATAAAGCACCTTGAGGCGAATGTGTGCCTTTATAAATAAAACTGAATTAAACCGAAAATGTCTTTTTCTTCCCTAACAGTAAAGTGAAGGCCTGGCGCCAGAAGAGAACTCTGGCAAAAGTGCTGGGTGGCAAGGCATCCCATGAGCCTCGGCGCTGGGAAGAGGATTACCAGCTGGTTGAGTGTGAGGGCCTGTTCGAAGAGTACCTGGAGATGGGTGAGTATCCATATCTGGATTTAGAGACTTTAATATCACTGCATTCAACCGGATCGCCAGTTCAGTCCAACTAAAAATTCACACATAGATAATATCCATTTTGATGAAAAAATGCAAAGATTAATTATCTAATTTTAATTTCATGTGCTGCAGTGCTCCAGTTTGGGTTCATTACTATCTTTGTGGCGGCGTTCCCCCTCGCTCCGCTCTTCGCCCTCCTTAACAACTGGGTGGAGATTCGTTTGGATGCACACAAGTTTGTGTGCGAGTACCGCCGGCCGGTGGCTGAACGTGCACAAAACATCGGAGTGTGGTTTAACATACTGGAAGCTTTGTCACACCTGTCTGTCATTGCCAATGTGAGTTCATGTCTAATACATTATTGTCAGACTACATAGCAATATGAGAAAAAAAGAACATTTATTATCTTTTATTCTTTTTCAGGCTTTCCTAATAGCGTTCACTTCAGATTTTTTACCTCGCCTGCTGTATCAGTACAAATTTGACAATGATCTCAACGGATACGTCAACTTCACCCTGGCTTACGCCCCACTCAACTACACAGAGTACCCTATGTGCAGGTATGCTGCTTTGATCTTTCTTTTTATGCTCCTTTTTATTCCTTCATCTTATGTGTCAAGTTCAACTTCTCATATATGGTTACTTTGGTGTTGCTAAGCAACATTTAAGTTTCTTAACATTTAAGTTAAGTGTGTTCATGTCATAGCCTTGGCCAACAGTGGGTGATATTACTGAATATTAAGACTGTTCTTTTCATGTGCTGCTGCTGTATATTATACACACCAAGTATTACAAATATTTCTTGTTGTAACTTTGTAACAAATTATGTTTGTTGGGGTTTTTCAGATACAAAGCATTCAGAGACAACAATGGAAACTACACACTGTTTTACTGGGAGCTCCTGGCAGTCAGACTTGGCTTTATTATTGCATTTGAGGTATGACGGAAGCTTCCTAGCATCTCTATTTACTTCATTTTGCCTGTTTTAGTGGTTTTACCTTTGTTTAGTATTGCCTTTTCACTGACACCTCTATGCCAGTTCTGCTTGTTTGGACAAATTCTAATGATTTAGTTCTCTTTTACCATTTTGTTTCCATCTGCATCACTTTTTATTCTCTCTCTATCTACCTCCTCTCTGCCATTTCCTCACAGTTATTTGTTAATGCTCACCTGAGAGAGAAGAAATTATTCACCAGTTGTACAAATTATGTGGAAAATAAAACTACAAGTACTGTTTTTCCATTTTCATGCTTGAAGATCAGCTGTCTGTTTGCTTAAAATTAATGACAATTTGTGATGTGGAGATTGTTCACACTGTTCTTGCTGTTGTTCTTACTGTCACCAGCACGTGGTGTTCTTCGTGCTGCGAGCCATTGACTGGATTGTACCCGATGTTCCCGAGTCCCTGGAGCTGAAGATGAAGAGGGAGCGCTACCTGGCTAAGCAAGCTCTGGCTGAAAACCAGGAGGCCCTGTTGGTGAGTCGAGCCCGAGCGGCCGCCGCTGCCACTCCAGGCACCTCCAGCCCAGGTCAGTAAGAACATGGGACGCACACACACAAGGTCATGCAGCACACACTTCTCCATATAAAGTAAATCTAGTTAACAATGACCAGGTAAATATGTTCATATTAAACTCACTTAAATCATCTTTTGGATACAAATTTGTGTGTCTGAGAGCAGAAAAAAAAATAAAAACAAGTCTTTTCTATTAGAAGTTTCTAATAAAATGTTACCGTGCTTCCTTGTCAGCTGCATGATAAACAAATCCTCTGCAGTGTGTTTCCACGTAGGTGATCCATGCAGTGTCAAACCTGTCACTGTCTCTGACATAGCTGATTCACACTAATAAAATCCACAATTGAAAGGCTTTTAAGAGCTCACCCACCCACCTGCAAAGCACCTACGGCTATACTGGCTGTCATAAACTCGCTGCGTACAGCATGATCATTAGAGGTAATCTATGTGGGATCAGTGCCAAATATTTCGCTTGATTGCATCGCCAGACTTTGTGACCTGATGTGTGTTGGCACGGGTTATTTCATCCATCAGCACTTCTGTTCAGGTTGGACTTTAAATAAAATGAAAAATCATTATGTTCAGCAAAACGAAGCAGCTTAACACGTCACATGTCAAATTTCATATTCTGCCCACGGGGATCGAGCGATGATCGTCGGGTATAGACTGTCATAGTGTGTATATTCATCCTCACCTGTATGTGTGTGTGTGTCCCCTTTGTTCTGGCCCACGCTATTGTCATGTGTCTCATGTAGTGAATGTTGCTGGATGAGGACAGGTAAGTACAGCACAGGTAAGTGAATGGCATTCCTAAAAAGGATGTCATGATTTCAGTTCAGAAATATTGGTATTAATTAATATTTTTAAGCCGATCCTGTGATCATTTAAAGTCTGATTTTCTTTTGTTGTTTAATCAAAAGTTATAATGTGGTACATGTAAGTCAGCAAAACATCTGTAAGACGTCAGTGGGCCCAGAGTTGCTCGCTGTTATGGTGATTATTCATCTCCATATCACATTAGTTAGTCTCTGTTTAGAAGCTGCTTATTTTATTTGCTGATCCAAGTTAATAGCTAGCTCTTTCCTCAACATTACTAACTAATACTAATTACTAATACTACTACTCCCTGTGGTTTCATTGCATTTGGGATGCACAGGTTTTGGATTGCAGTCTGAAAACTTGATTACAGCAGGTGGCATTGTGGGATTTTTATATCCTCTAACTCCCCTAAAGTCACATTTTGTTTAGTTTAATTTAGAACTTAGTTAGATCAACACTGTGTGAATTTAATGTGCATATTTGCTCTTCGAAGATAAAAAGCAACCATTTTATTAGATGTGAGGCCTACAGGACATACAGACTAAGGACTTTGGCATCTGAAATTATTTATTACATTTCATTGTGTAACCAGTTTATTTAGTGTTGTAGTTACCTGATGTGATCGCTGCAGCAAAAGTATCTGTGTCAGCCTTTTCCTCCTCTGTACCTCTTATTGTAGTCAGTCTAACACAACTAACTCTTTTTCTTGCCTTTCTGCTTCTTTCCCGTCACTTCTGCCATTGCCTCCTCTGAAGGAAGTGACACGTCCCTTGGAAACATGAGTTAGGATTCCTCTGTGGAAAAGAAGCAGTGGGACTGAACGCTGGTGGAATATGAGACTTTCCTTTGTATCTCGGATAAGTGAAATTTTCCCAAGAAAGTGGAATACTGTCTTGGGATTGGTTTTCATATCACTAATACATATTCATCTGCACAGATACATTGTAAGCAGGTGTGCTTCGGCTTGCCCACCTTCTTCATATGGACATTTCTCCAACATATTCGGGATTTTTTTCAATCTCGTGGTTATTGCAACATTATCAGAGTCTGATGTTACTGGAGCAAAGGGCATGAATTTATAAAGCATAAATCTATGTATTGCTAAATAATTAAGCAACGTATGTGGGGAAAATTAGTATGTTGATTGGCTTCCACTAGCTGCAGCATGCACTGTTAATGCTACCTGACGCCACGCAGGTGTGGGACTTACTTGCAGTACTGTGTGTGTATCCCATGCAGCCTCAGATTGACTTCAAAGTCTGACAACATGAACTATTTAAATGATGCCAAATGTTGTATTGACAGAGCATAGTTTGAAATTGCATAAATTCCAATTTGCAGTGTTTTTCTTGGAGTTACTGTTGGGATACCCAGAGGACCTGAAATGTAATGAAGTTGGATTACACCTTGACTCTGCAAAAGCTCATCCTGAATATTTTGGGGGGGGCTTTATAAAACTCCTCTGAAGGGACAGAAGGCTTCAAACAAAGGAGTGCACAGGATCAGTAGTGCCACTCATGGAAAGAAAACAGACTTTTATGTGTGAGCTCGGCAGACTGCCTCTTTAATGTGTATTGTTATTATCTTTATGACGAATGCTGACTTGAGGTCAAAGTTCACCTTTCTTGGACAAACTGTTACAACAAGATCAACAGAGTCAGCAGTGCTTTGGGGGTTTTTTGCCCCTCATTTTCACAAAGCTGGCATTGTTCACTGACTGTATTATCATCACATAGTTTATGCTGCGTTTTCACTCAGCACCAAGCATGAAAGTCTTTTCTACGTGAATGTCCTGCACAGTACGGCTGTACAGTACTGTAAACAGGAGTGAAACAGCACCTGAGCAGAGGCCATATTTTACATATGAGCTTTTTTGTCATTTTTGATCAAATAAATCTAGTTTGACGAACGCAAACACCTCCTCGATGTGGGATTCACAGCCTCAGAGATGCTGTACTTGCTGGAACTTTAATCCTTCCACACCATCTGTCTTCTCCACTTTCTTCTTCTCTTCATTTTGCCCTCCTTCTTAAAACATCACCTTCCCCCCAAAAAGATGAAAAGTCTCTGATTTATTGGGAGTCAGAAACAGACAAGTGTTTCATTAATGATTTCCCTCTTCCTCTCCCTCCTCCCCACACAAAAACTCCACCAATGGCCGTGGCCTTGGGCAACTCCTGACTTTTACTTCATCTCATCTCCTCTTCCACCTCAGTCTCTTTTTTTTCATGTTATTTCATTCCTGAAGTCACTTTTTTTTGTAATGAATACTATCTTCTTCCTCCTCTTCTCTCTCTTGGCCACATTCATCCTTTAGATTGTTGTGATTGCTCTGCGTTCCTCTGCCATGGCCTGCAGGAAGAGTGAGTTAGTACATGTCAGCGAGCACAGGTATGCGCTGCGGACATCGGCTGGCTCATTTACCGGCTGCTGGAGTGAAGTGAGGGAATGTTTGCATGCAAGCAAGACATGGCAACGAGGCCTCAGCTGAATAATTTTTTTAAAAGCCCTCGAAACTTGCCTGATAGTCAATGCATTAGCATTTCAGTTGCAAATGCACATACTGAGAAATACAGCTGCATTTCAGGGTTCAGTCAGTGTTATGTGTTGCCTGAAAGAGAAGATACATATACACACATGTAATACGTATGACATCTGGAAAAGCCA